AGAGCTGGCCACTAGGAGGCACTGTGCTGCAGGGAGATGGGCAGAGGGTGCTGGGTTGGGCACTAGGGGGTGTTGTGCTGCAGGGAGAAGAGCAGGAGGCAGCAGGGGGCGCTCTCCTGAGTGCCAGGGCTGGTCACTAGGGGGCGCTGTGCTGCAGGGAGGGAGCAGTGGCCAGCAGGGGGCGCTCTGCTGCAGGGAGAGGGGCAGAGGGCGCTGGGCTGGCCCCTAGGGGGTGCTGTGCTGCAGGGAGAGGGGCAGAGGGTGCTGGGCTGCAGGGAGAAGGGCAGTGGCCAGCAGGGGGCGCTCTCCCCTGGCTCTCAGTGATGGCCTCCATGCCCCAGAGCACCATAAGACCTGAGACTGAAGCCCAGGCCTCCCGGGGCTATTAAATCTCTCACTTGCCCCTTGACCTGCCAACCTGGCCAGATCCCCCCTCCCGAATCCCTGCTCTTCCAAGGGGTCCAGCGTCCTTGCCCCAGAGCCCAGCCCTGAGTCACCAGCATGGCAGGGGCCCAGAGCCGGGCTGCGGGGGGGAACCAGCTGCTGGGCCCCGCCCCAGAGGGGGCTGCAGCACCACCCCACAGCCTCCCCCGGGACGCCGAGGGGCTGCCACTCACCCCTCCAGCCCTGTGATGAGGAAGTCCAGGTTGCCAAGGATCTTGGTGCAGTTGACGAACTTGTCGATGTTGCTCGAGTCGACGGTCTGGTACTTGCTCCCAGCGCCCGTCCCCTCGCAGGCTGGAAGGCAGGAGGGGGAGGGAAGGAGCCACATAAGAAGCCTGCAGAAGAGGCTGGGCCGTGCCCCCCCCCCCCATGCGGCACCAGGGTCCGAGCCGCCCCGGGCCCCCAGGTACCTTTAGGGCAGAGTCCAGAGCATGGCTCACACATCTTGAGGCCATTCTTCTCCACCTCCATCTTATCGTTGGGACAGGCCCGCACGCAGGAGCTCTGGTCCACCACGAAGTTATCTGCAAGCAGGGGGAGTGGGTGACCGGAGAGTTTACAGGCAGGGGAGGGAGGGCAGAGCACCGAGCCGCCCCGGGCCCCCAGGTACCTTTAGGGCAGAGTCCAGAGCATGGCTCACACATCTTGAGGCCATTCTTCTCCACCTCCATCTTATCGTTGGGACAGGCCCGCACGCAGGAGCTCTGGTCCACCACGAAGTTATCTGCAAGCAGGGGGAGTGGGTGACCGGAGAGTTTACAGGCAGGGGAGGGAGGGCAGAGCACCTAGTGGTTGGAGCGGGAGGGGGGAGGGGGGAGCGTGTCTGGGAACCTGGACTCCTAGTGGGCTGGTTGTGTGCCCTCGAGGCAGGCCACAGCCACCAGGCTCTGTGCCTCGGTTTCCCCCAATGGCTATAATAAAGCTGCTCCTTGGTGTGTGTGTGGGGGGGGGGAGGGCATGCTGGGAAGGATCATTCCCTGGTGACTTCCCCTCCCCAGATGGGTGGTGTGGGGCACTGCTGGGGACCCTGGCGGCGCAGGGACACTGTAGGGCTGTGTGAGCCGTAGGTGGGATCTCGCAACAGGGCCTAGTTACCTGTCCCCCAGGGAAAGGTCTCATTAGGGAGCAGGATTAGGGGCGCCACCCCTCCCAGACTGGCTGGAGATCAATGCCGAGTCTGCTACCTAAACCAACCTGGGAGATTTTCTGTGTGTTCCAGAACCCACAGATCAATGCCGAGTCTGCTACCTAAACCAACCTGGGAGATTTTCTGTGTGTTCCAGAACCCACACTCCACACCCTCCCCCCCACATGCCAACCCCCTGGTCCA